TAGCTATGTCGAAGATATAATTCCCAAGGAATAAGAAATTCAGACTTACGTATTCACAAGACTTACCTTACCACTATGTACCATGCCTGAGCAATTTCTTATTAGACTATTGTGATACAGCTTAAACCTTCTTTTTAGAACATGAAATTTTATAGATTCTTACTTCTTCATCTAATTTCTCTTCTACTTTGTGGAAAAAAAAAGCAAATTATATAGAAGTTTGGTTTTACATGTGTGTTATAATCATAATCTTCTTATGGATACACTAGATATAAATGGGAGATTCAATTTTGAGAACAATGCACTTTTGGGTACCTCTATATATATGTATATATTTGTGTGTGATATGCAACCATTATTCTCAAATTAACTCCTAAGATCTTTTCCAGAAATATGATAAAGACACTTTTTTAAGATGTAAACTAGAATTTTACATTTTCAAATGAATAAGGAGTCTAGAAGTTGAAGACCCTGCAAGTTTTTATGTGTGTTATAATTTGTAAACTTCAAATTATATAGAAGTTTGGTTTTACATGTGTGTTATAATCATAATCTTCTTACGGGTACATTAGATATGTGTGGGAGATTCAATTTTGAGAACAATGTACTTTTGAGTACCTATCTCTCTCTATATATATATTATATGTATGTGTATATATTTGTGTGTGATATGCAACTATTATTCTCGAATTAATTCCCAAGATCTTTTCTAGAAATGTGATAGAAGTAACTTTTTAGGATATAAACTAGAAATTTACATTTTCAAATGAGTAAGGGGTCTAGAAGTTGAAGAACCTGCAAGTTCTAGATTTTTGCAAGCCTTCAATCTAAATATTATAAAATAAAATATATAACTGAATTAATTTATATTCAATTAATATTATATCTATGTATATATATCATAATAAAAAATACATAAGTATATAAACCGATGAAAGTGTAAAGTGTAGAGGCCTTTTCTCCTTCTTAGGTAGGAAACAGATTTCTTTGTTGACTGAGTTAACTTTTTCGAGAATTGATAATTTAATCGGTGAATTATAAAAACATATAATCCAAGGAAATATATATATATATATATATATTCATAATCTACTCAGAACAAAAAAGATTTACTTTTTAGCTTCAGATTCACAGTTTATTATCCTCTAAAAACTGGTAATATACATACATTACTATATTGTTTAAATTTCGATTTCCACGTGTATACTTATTTCTAGAGCCTTAACGTAATTATATCCTCACAAAGACATATATATATATATATCTGTGTGTTTGTATATGTATATAAACACAAACCATTTGCGGAAATGTTCGACTCCCTGTATTTACTCTTGCAATGTATTCGACTTCTGAGAAACCATAATCGATATCTGAAAAGATTGATGTAGATTTGACATCGAACTCTTTCATGGCTTCTATTTATTCTTGACATGCTTTTCAACATCTACTTAAAGCCAATTTTGTAGATTGAATTTTCTACTAATTCTCCATAAACTGAAAAATATTTATATTTATATATATATATATATGTATACATATATATGTTCGAAAGACATATATACGCAGCTTACATACGCATTGGCCCATTGGTTCTTACATCATCGATTTTGACCTCTAGAATAACTTACTATGACGCATATAATAATAATTTATACATATACATATATATACATATATATACAGATTCCTTATGAATACACATATATGTGTGTGTGTATATATATATAGTGAATCAACTATGATATTGTGAATCAAGGGTAAAATTAATGAATCAACTACTACCGATTCATATATATACATATACACAAAACAAAACGAAATAACAAACACAATAGTTGATATTCAGAGAACATACACAATACATCCTTACAACAAGAAAGAAAGACGAACTACATTTATATAGATGTATAAGAAAACACTAGTTACATAAACTTGCGAAGTACAGGTCCACTCACATTGAAAATAACAGCCAGCTCTCTCTCTTCCTCCGCTCATACGCACACAGACACAGAGGCCCAAACGCACAAAAACGCAGACACATACATGCATACATGCATATATAGATATATATATATAGAGAGAGAGAGAGAGAGGAGAGAGAGACACAATTATTTACGTTACATATATATGTTTACTAATTAGGGCTGGGGATTTGATTGACGTTCTTCACGAACCAAATATCACCTTCCCAGAAATCACCATTATCATAAGCAGGCTCCTGTCCAAGATCACTCATCACCTCCCACCATCCCATTCCCCACTCACATCCCTTCTTCCACATCCAATCCTCCTCGTAACTAAACGTCATTGGCCATTCCTCCATCACCCCTGCACTCCTCTCCAAAACCAGAGCATTAACCTCCTCTTTCTTCTTTTCCTCATTCACCCCAGTCTCCTCCACCACCTGCACTACTTGTTTTGGTTGATTACTCGCCATCGAAGACATGGATCTTGTCACCATCGTCCTCTGATTGCGAATAACCAGATGAGAGGGAGGAGAGATAGATGAACTCACATTCGTCATTCTATACATTCTTCTCGCAGGCATTTTAGCCCTTCTGATCATCCTTCTTTCTCCTCTGCTTTGCTTAGTACACTTCACCCCATTGTAAATTGCGCTCACCTTTGCTCTCTTCATTCTCACAGGACTTGTACACCGAGTAGATGAAAATGAAGGAATTGAAATGGTGGGGAAGATGAGTGAAGGGCATAGGTGTATATATAGCACATGGGGGTTATATTGGGAAAAGAGAAAAATGACGGCAGGTGTTGTGCAAAGAGGGTTTCACTCCATGCTTAGGTCTGCATAACATTTTACTTTCCCAAATTTTCCCGAGAAAATGATGAAAACTTCCTCACAATATATTTCTCGAGAGGAACGGAGGAAGGTGGTAGGTGATGTGCGTTTCAGTTTGCCGTTTGGCTACGTGGATTTCTCGACATGCAGAGGCATGGGACCCACAACCGACAACGAGAGTGGGTCCCCCAGTTGTTGAATTTTCTCTTCTTTGTTTTTTTTTTTTAATAAATAAATTAATTTCCCAGTATGCGTTATTTCTACTTTGTGAGTGGCTTCGGGTTTAGGCCACCACGTAAATGACTCGTGCATGAGTTTTTGTCGCTACTCGTTACAATATCAAGCTTACATAAAACGGTGACGTATGCTCTTCAAATTCAACTTCATTTTGAGTTCTCTCTTGACTTATAATTCTACATCAACTAATTGCCCATTATAGTGAAATTCACTATCTTTACATATAGTATATATAAACATTGTATAGGTATAGGATTTCAATCTTAGTACAACCCAAAATCTCATATAATAAGTTGGCTTAATTAGCATCTTAATTATCGAACCAAGACCACCATTGGTTGCATATCATTAAGGTGCTTCGTTCTTGAATACCGATGCTATTCTTAAGTTTTAAGAACATCTATAGGTACTTGATCATTTATCATTTTGTCTTTTATTTATTCAAGAAATGAACGTATACATGATAGTTTAAAAGAAAGTTTATCTGATTATCTAAGATTTCTGTGTACTTCAATTTCGATGCAATCAAATACTAAGTATGATCTTTTTGATATGATATCTAAGAAATTCTAAATGTAATATCTAAGTTTATTGCAAATCATAAGTTTGATCTCTTTCAGTACATCTTCGTTAAATTCAATGGGTGAGATTAAAAGATGTTATAAATATAAAAAATTTTCTAAATTTTTTAAATTCTATTTTTTATAAATTTTCTTAGTAATAACCATATAAATTATTAGATCATAACATAGGAAATAATTTTTCGAATTTCATATACTGTCTGTGTTGTCAGTGAAATTAGATCCTACATTTGATACATTAGCTTTAACGAAAAAAATATGATAAATATATAATAAATTATTTCAAGTAAATTTATTTTTAGTAAGAATTAAGAATTATGAAAAATAATTCATAAAATATTTTATTAATAGAACAATAAATTAGATATTAAAAATAAAATAGCCGTTTATAAAAAAAATTCAAAGTTTTTACAAATTGATTGATTCATGTTACACCAAAGGGGGGGAAAGAGAAGCAACAAGCAAAAGATACTTGTGGAGAGAAGGCAAAGTACAATAAGGGATTAGGAGGGTAAGAATCTTTACACCTTATAAGTATAAAAATTTGTAAAAAAAAAATTACTTACGAGCTAACATGGCATATTTTTTTGTATATTTGTACAAAAAAATTAGAAATATTTTTCTGTGTTTAGTATTCCTTGGAGTTTATACCATCGTAAGCAATTTCGTTATTAAGACTGATACCTAAGCATAAAAGCATTAGATACCTAATAATATTGTTACAAGAATGTAAAGATGTACTTGATAAAAACACTGAAGTTTAGAAAGAGAAACTCATCCGAATAATAGAAACTAACCCCGTATAATTGAAATGTTCGTGATTTGGAATATTATCAACTCCAAATATAGAAAACCTGCATGTTTTACGTGGGCACACATGAAACACGTGCATGGATTTGAATGTGCACGTAAACTCGAATGGCATGCAAATAAACGCATATGATTAGATCATCACGATAAATAACGTCATCAAAAATCTCGTCGAGATATTCATCAAGATTTCGGCAAATGTTGCATTCGCTATAACACAACGACAAACAAACTAAACGTTTCATTGCTTTACTGACAATGAATATTTAGTTCTGCTAAAAAATTGTCTAGAAAATATCTGAGAAGATTGGAATTTACCTTTACCAAGAAGTTTCGCCAATAAAACTACACGTTGCCCGCAAGAATAACATCTAGTTTAGTTTAGTTATGCCATCCTTAATCCTTCTTGAAATTTTAATAAAGAAATGAAGATGGGAGAAAAATGATGATGATTATGAAGAAAAAAGAAGGGACAAGAACAAATATTATTCTCACCCCCGAGTATCCAAACAAATTGAGATGGTCACAAAGAAAGAAAAAGAAAAGTGAAAGATCAAAATTTAAATACAGTATTCCTAAATAAAGAAACACATATTGACATTACCAAATAAAAAACCTAGCATTGATAAAATCCTAAGAATAAATAAATGATAATCTAATTATGAATTTAACTTTTTATTTGAGTTCGTTGTTAGAATCATCTTGCCTGATCAGTAGGACCAACTTTGCCCAAGACGCCAGCAAGATCTTTAAAAAGTTTAGGAAAATATACAAATATAAAGTATCTAAAAAGTTATGGTGCATGATAGTATTTTCAAAGTTATAATTATAACATTTTTTAGATATCATTTTAAGAGATAACATGTAATGAAATGAAACTAAAATCTTTCCTATCAATAATGGATGCTCCTTTTAGTAATATTCTTCTCGTTATGAATTGGCATATCAAATGACGTGTTAAACAACAAGAAATAGCTATCTTAGTTTCTTACATGTTTCCAATTCTAAATTCTTATGCAATATATTAAATTAGCTTCTAATTATTGGTTAAAAGAATATATGATGTTACTTTTTAATATTTTTTATTGCAGATCATAAAAAACGGCTATAAATTTTAAAAATAAATTCTTTTTTCTCTAAGAAATAAACTTATTGTACATCAAACACTTCTTGTCGGACATCAATTCGAAGTTACGCTCAAAATAAATCAATCGAGAAGGAAGACTTGGGTCAAACTTGGAGAGTCATGAAAGAAGTTACATGGAAAAGCAATCCATTAGTCTTTAACAAGTCATTAGGCCAAATTTTCAAGTTCAAAATTCATGAAGAACAGAGTCCATTATTTTAATCAAGTAGTTGTGTATAATACGCAATGTGGGAAGTGATCTTTAATTAAGAGTATTTATACTACGTACGATTATTTTTTATTATGAGTATTTATGTCACGTGGATTAATTATTTATTTTTCTATATTAGAAATTAGATTCTATGTAGATTAATTATTCATTTTTCAATTATGATTAGGAATTGATTTTCGTGTAGGATTCGTTGATCCATATAAACTAATTATTCATTTCTCTATTATGACCAAGAACTGGTTCATTATTCATTTTCCTATCATGATTGGCTTTCGAGAGCCGGGATTGATATGATATTCTTTATATAAGATTTTTTTATATGTATTTTTATTTTTTATGATATAGAAATAAAATAATTTCAGCAAAAGACTATTTTTTATAATTTGTAAAATTCTTCAATCCTTTTTGTTGCATCAAAAAATTGTTTTTTTTTTTTAGTAACGTTTTAATTAATTTTTTTTTATTTCATCGTAATCACCTTAGTTCCATTTGCAAGTTAATTATAGATCAAGTATGAAAGATTTATTTAGTCTTGAGTTTTAATGCTAATTGTGTATATAGTGATTCAAATTTCACGTTAATCTTAGGTTCTATATCATTAAAACTTACAATCTAATAGGAAACAACTTGTTATACTATTTATCCGCTCGACAACTTTACTTCTCGTAAATTCTCATATGGAAATGGGTTCTAGAATATCAAGATTACTAACCGTCGTTGAAGAGTCAATACTAATAAAAACTTTCATGCAATCTCTTTTAATTGCATGCTAAATATTGTAATTATACGAAAATTAAAAATTTCATTAGACACGTGAACAGACATAAATATTTAGGTAAAATCAAAATTGCACTTAATTAAATAGTGTAGACATTAATTTTTATTCCCTAAAAAGTTATCAACAAAATAATTGGCCAGAGTTACGAAACGATAGCGAAATAGTTAATTAAAGAACCGAAATACATTGCTACCGTGATTGCCATCGGAAGGGAGTTACCGGTTGCGTTCGAGGAATTTGACAAAACGTTGGAAATGAAGAGGATGTTCGGGATGTAATGGCTTTGTCCGGTGAGCCTTATTCCTTTACTGGATATGGAAAGCTTAGTAACAGGTAGGTGAAGGAAGCTGAGGAACTGAGGAAGAACTTCGGGACTGAGTAAAGATTGAAATGGCTGCCTCAGGGGTTAACATTCTTATTTGCATCGTTAATTGATGGTAGATTGGGCGTCTAATTACAAAAACGCACCGTTTCAATGTGAAGCCGATAATAATATCTAGTGGGTTACAACAGGTTTAGATCCTGATTCTGGCATAAAATGAATTAATTGCCTTCTTTTTCTTCTTCATTTACATTTATTGTAGTTTAGTTGAAAATTCTTCGACCTTACAGGTCTGCATGTTCATGGATTTCTTGTAGAAGGAAAAGACAAGAGACTGGATTATTATATATGCAAAAAGTGAACGCTGTAATCAGAATTTTATGAACCAACTTCATTGTTTCTAGTTTAGGAAGGAACATATTATACATACATGGAATGGCAATTTGCTGAGGCAAATCATTTTCGAAACAATGAATGAACACGAACGAAGAGCCAATTTTCCTCGTCAAGATGAACATATTTGACAATTACGAAAATACATTTACAGGCTGAATGACCACAGACTCAAATCACCAAGAGGGGGTTCTCTATAGACTATACAGAATATTTCATGGTGATCCCCAAAGATTTCAAAAGACTCAGTACTTAAACCTTCTTATATTACAAAAAAACAAAAAGGTTTGAGCATCTTACCATGTTCAAACCTTTTCTAGACAACACAATGTTGGCACCTTTCTCTTTCTGCTCCAATCAAACTACTTACAAAGATATTAGCAATCAAATAAGACCACTGACAAAAACACATGATATATACACACTAGTACTAACAGACCTTTCTTATCTCTCCGCAAAAATACTCAAAATTCCCTCCTTGTTGTTAAACTTGCTGTGAATATTTAATTATGGTGGCTTTTAGAATCATATGTACACTTCCACTGGGGAGTTCTAAGCCACAGCAGGGATACTTGAACTTTGGCGATCGCTGTTGAGGCAATCAAATCCTTCTACTCTAACCGTGGCCGGCTTAAGGCCAAACTTCATCCTAACACAACCACCTTTTCGGGGGGTTGCTGATGATGAGGGAGATGGTAAACCTGATGGGGAAGGAAGAGGTAATGTCAACGGGGTGAGTTTCTCATCTCCAAAACGAGCATCCTGTACTAATGGGTTAGCAGCTCTGCTTGGAGGAGACCCTGAAAAAAATGGGGGTGATGATGCTACTGGCATTACAGATTGCCCTGTCCCATAACCCTCCTGCACCAAACAACATAATATTAGTCAAGTAAGACAACAACTAGGTAAAGGAGACACACACTCAGAACAAAATTTCACAAGATCACAATATCCTTAGAATTCAACCAAGAAAAATCCTTACTCCGCATATGAAACCTAAAATCCAAAGTTACAAAGATCACATACCTTCATGAGGATGATATCAAGAAGATCGGCACCAGCTTTGGAATCATAGACCTCAGCAGTTTGGCTGCCAAGGAAAACAATCCCAATAAATTGATAGGCTCAAAAGAAGCACTACCAGAACCTCTAGACTTAAGTAAACAAACAGAATTATAAATACTTACCTCATGTGCAACCTCAACGGCCAAATGGGATTGTTAGCCAGGATTCCTACCCGTCGAGGCTTAGGGCAAACAACTGGATCCTTCTGATCACAAATCGAAACCAAGCCCCTCATCTCCTCGTAGGGCATGACGGCATTCTGCTGAAGATTACAATGATTCATCTTCGAAAACTTGTTGGACTTCCCAGAAGAACGCCTAATCTGCGCAACAAAAACAAAAGAATTTTAGAAATATGTCAAACAGAGATTTAGATCTAATAAATGAATAAACAAAAAAGCAGTCAATTACAAAAGGCAAAGCTAAATAACTGGTTGATCTGCTTGTAGGCTCTAAATTGATCTTATTCTAAAGGACTAACAACGCATACGAACTCATATTTGAGAACATAAAGTCCTATATCTCTTATTTTTCCTCCGTTCTCTCATCAACAAAACAAAACATCACCAGATTCGTCCATAACCTAAGCAGATCTGAATCCATACCTTTCATAAATTTAAAGTAGTTTCCCTTCAAGTTTAGCACAAAAATCAGATCAAAATTTTCACAAAATCGAAGCCCTTGAGTCCAAAAAAAACAAAACGTACTAAAAAAAACGAGATGTTAATTACACTGTTAAACGACGATGGAGAGTAAATAGAAAATATACAGATAACTAACTAATTTACAGCTCAAATTGAACCCTGGATGTTGACCATACAGCTAGAACACAGCAGATCTGATCTAAAACGAGAAGCTACGGTTTCGATTGAATAGATACAGAAAGAAAAACGAAGCGAGACCAAAACAGAAAAGCCAGATCTGCAGAGTGGATAAGCTGCTTGTGATCTCTAACAGGCAGAAATAAACCACAAATCAAAAGATGTAACACATAAGCGATGCGATAACAGATAACTATAAGTTTAGAGGTTGAGGAAGAAAGAGAGACCTTGAAGGAATCCTCTGAAAGAAGAAGGAAGTGGACGGTGCCAGTGCCACGAGGACGAAGGGAAGGATGGTTAGGAAATTATGGAATTTATATAGAAAGATGAGGTAAAAAAGGGTTGTTGACGGAGCTAAACGATGTCGTTTTTAAGTGCGGTGTAAACGGCACACTTTCGATAATTATTCGTAGCCAGACATGAAAATAATAATAATAATTATTATTATTATTATTTAATTAATTAATTAAACATTTTATGAACTACATGTATTATACCAAAACGACTACGCAGTAACTTTAAAATGTAAATTTTCGCAGCAAAATTTGTGCTTTTTCTTATTTTTTTAAAAAAATTTATTGCCTAATTAATTTATGCTAATTAGCAATGAAAAATATAAATAATATAAATTACACTTTTTAAAATAAAATAATATACAAAATATTAGTATATCTTAACAATAAAAAAACCTAAAAAATAAAATAAATATCTCTCGCAAAACTTAATCAGTATTTAAGAATTATCTTCTGGTAAACTAATATATGTTTAATTTGAATCTTTTATAAAATATTTAATTCGAACGGGGACAAAAACATTCATTATTACCGTGCAAATTAAAAATTTAAATAGTTAACAAAGTTCTAAACAAAATAAATAAAATTATCAGAAATTGATAAGATTTGCATAATATTTTTACCAAAAGTATTTGAAGATAATTATTTTATTAGCAGGTCGTACAATTGAAAGTGAGTAGAGTGTATATCTTTTGATTGACTGGTGGATTGAGAACAAATTTTTCATAGCACACACTCGTCTTCTTTTAAATTTAGATTTGTTTTAAAGAATCCTTGTCACTTGGATGAATTTATGTCCCTCATCTCTTAAAGATTTGTGCTTTGAGATAAACCAAAATCAGAGTTAGATCTGACACTCGTAATCTATGCAAGTCAGTTTATTATCGTGTTAATTATGGTAATTTATTTGCAGACAAATATAAGAGTCCCATTAGAAAACTATTTGGATACTATATATACTCACAGTGGATCCATCAGCTTATGTGGGTTATTGCCTTATATTGTATAATCACCAATGCAGAAATGAAGTGCATGCACATTGTCCGTGATAATTAGTATCTTATAAGCCATTATCACATAAAAAGTATTTTTTCATGTTATTTATGAGTACCAAATATTTAAATAGGTAATGAGTTATTTAACTAATATTTCGTACTTCAATATTTTATTATATCTTGTTTTTTATAGACAGTTTATTTAGAGCTTAATAATGAAATAAACTCTAATGGTATTACGAGTTAAAAGACGATATTATTGATTATTACTTGGATCTTTTGAAAAAAAAATGAATTAACATATTCTTAAAAATGAATTAACATATACTACTTTTAACTCGAATATTATTCGGTTTATGCAAGAGTTCAATATAATATGTATTGACTTTTGATTTCAATATTCATAAAGAGATTTCGCTGTATCTATGTTATGAAGGTATATACCCCTTAATTGGTTTTTTTTTTAAATTAACAATCTGCTCATTGTGATCATGTTAAATGTAGTCATAATAGTTTTATTATAAATAATATAAGCTAGTGGGTGACTGGTTTATGAATAATTTATGTACAGACTATTTGTTAACTAAAGTTTTTAGTTGGTTTTTAAGGTCTCAGACTTTTTTGAATAAAAGTAGGTGTAACTCATAATAAAAATTGACTTCTTATATATTAAGCAACTTCACTACTAAATTAACAATTAAAATATACAAATATTTCATATTCATATAAAATACAATACGTGTGACTGTCTGATTGTAACACACATAGAAGAATTTAATAAGTCATACTAATTTAATTTAGGACCAAAAAAATTCATCCGAGTTTTATTTGTTTTTAAATTTATGTTAAATTTCATTCTTTCTCTATTTATAGAAAAAAAAATGTATTATTGTGTCAACTAATAAATATTTAGTTAATTAGATTAAAATTTCAACAAAAAAGTTAATTTCATGTTTAAAATTTTATTAATTATTTAATAAATATTTTATTAATTTTAGGCTAACGTTATTTCAATTAAATATTTTTAATTAATTCACAATAATATTTTTTAAAAAAGAAAATAGTTTTAATTTCAATATTTCAATTTGTTTTATAATCGAGGATTTTGATATTCTGATTTGACTCTTTTGAAGTTGACCCGTCAATCCCATCAAATAAAAAATGTTGACCGTTAATTTTTCATTTTTTTAAAATATGTAAACTTATTTTTAGTCCTTAATTATATTTTATAACGAATATTTACGGCACGTGTTTTTTTACGCTCTACTACTATGATCGCGTACAGTCGAGCCTACGTTAGGTAAATGTACTCTTAAAACATATAATTCTAATATTATTATTATATTATAAATAATTATATATTATGAAGCGGACGTTTGACTTTTTGACTAATCAAAACAGTCCAAATCCAACGAGACCTAGTCCCTAAGCTGGCTTCCACGGAAACCACACTTTACAAATCACGACTACGTGAGTTGACTTTTAAAAGTCAATCAGCCAATCAGAATTTAATAAAATAAAATAAAAAAGACTCCACCGAATAAATAAATAATAAAAAGGAATGAAAAATTAATTAAAAATTTAAGAAAAAAAAAGAGGAATTTATCTTGCACGCGCGCGTCATTTACGCAATGAACGAAGGAAGTTTTGTGCAGAGGACAGCCTGTGAATGGGTCCCAGCCGACGACAGGGCGCGTCCTGTATCGGTAGATGGTCCGTCTATCTGACGATGTCGTGTGATTTTGACACGTGTCGTGCACCTGTCATCGGATACCGTTCCAAACATCAGAAGCGCAATTAAAGTGCTCACGTGGACCACGTGTGTCGAATTTTCAATATGGGGTGGTCAAAGTCAATCCATTTTTCTATTTTTTCCGATTTCTTATATATATATATATATGTGTGTGTGTGAGTGCGTGTGTGTGTATATATATATATATATATATATTCTCTAACCTTTTGCAGTTTGGCTGGTTCAATTGGAAGGCATATTCATAGCCAATTTGATTTTTTAGACTTATTGTGGGATCAAATCTGCTCTAAATTTAATGTGGAATAAAAATCTTTTTAATTTCTTAGACTACGTGGATTTGATTCGATACATTCAGCTCAAATTCAATGTAATTTAGTATATGAATACAAATATAATTACTTTTATAAATATAAATATATTTATAAGAATTAAAAAGAATATAACTATATATATATATATATATATATATACATGCACATATAGTGAATTAGGCTCGAATGGAATTTGAAAAGCCAAACTCGAAAATGTTCTAACCCACTTTTTTTTTTTTTAGTGTTAAAGAATGAGCACGGGCGTAGAGGATCATGGCAGACAGCACGCGCGGAGAATAGGTGATATGCATGGTGGAAGCGTGCGTATGTATATATCACGTGTGTATGTATATGTACTTAATTAAACGACATCGTTTTAGCTTTAATATTTAATTTTACTAAAATTTTATATTGCATGTTCAATATTATTTTAAATACGAGTAATGTAATAAATTATTTTTAAAATATATAATAATTAAAATTATGATTAATTGAGATAATTATAATTTTTTTATATATTCTTCAATCGTCTTTGTTACATTTAGTCTTGTTTTATTGTCTTTATCGTTGAATTCACAAATCTAAACTTCACGAGAGTCTTTATAGTTACATACGCACTAAAAGTACACATTAATTTGTAATACTACATTTAATAAAATAAATAATTAAAAATATTAATTAAATATCGCGACACTTATATTATGAAATAATATGAATAAAAATAAGTAAGGTAATATAAATCAAATATAAAATTTTGACCGACATTGTCTTTAATATCTATATTAAAATTATGATTATGACGTGTATTAATGCAAACACTTATTTTTTATGATATCATAAATTAAAAATTAAGATAAAAAAAAATATTATCTCATTAGTATTAGTTATATTAAAGATTTTGTATACTATTTAGAGATTTGATTTTAAATTTAAATTCTCGATATTTTTATATAGAGTATTTTTATAAAACAAATAATTATTAAAATTATTTTTGACGAAAGATTTATCGCTAAGAAGAATTTAAAAGTTAAATTTTTTTATGGTAATATATATTTGTGTGATAGCAGATAAGATTCGAAAAATTATTTTTATATACTTAAAAAATATTATATTAAAAAATTAATTTAGTACGACAAATCATTCGACATAATTCAAATCATAACATACAAAAAATAAAGAGAAGAATGTTATTATTCTCCGAATCTCAATTGAACCATTTTTTTATATTTTATTTTCTTATTTTATTTTTTGGGAATAAATTATTATAATTTTACATGTTTACTAATGACTTTAATTTAAATTTAAATTTAAATTTAATTATTATCATTTTACAATTAATATTTATGTAGAATTTTATTTACGTATCATTTTAATCGTTTCGCTAATATTTCACGATTCCCTATATTTTTACCCGACCCGACCCGACCCAGAATTCGATTCTTCATCGTGGACCGGCCCATTTAATGTAACCTATTGAAAGAAGACACGTGTCTTCGTCGTCATCATCTGAAAGAAACCAATACAAAACACACTTTGCTTCTGCTCCGACCACCTCCGACTTCCGTCCCCACCATCGCCTCTCCCTGTCGTTTGCAGGCTGAATAACAAGTTGACAACGTTTCCTTCGCTCAATTTTTTTTTGTTTGTTTTAGAAAATTTGCAGAGAATATAATCCGCGTAATATATATTTTAAAAAGAAACCCACTCGGATCTCATTTTACACTGGTCAAATCATTATTATTATTATTTTTCAACTAAAAAAATGATAAAGAAAACACATGGCTTTGAAACCCGCAAAGTTTTACAGAATCCCGCTTTTACATGGTATCTTATCCTACTTTTTTTTTTTTTTTTCCTTTTATAGTTTTTTAATAATATATAAATATTTTTACGTCAAGAAAAAAAATGACTATAAATATACATCGAACATCGACCAATTCTCTGCCTTTTTTTTTACTATTTTCTATTTGATTATTGCTGAAATTGTTGGTTGGTTTTCCGGTTCGGGGCGGGAATTTTAGGGTTTGGGTCGAGAGCGAGAGAGAGGAGGAGCGAGATGGCGCCTGCGGTGAGGTTGGCAGGGGCAAATGACGAGTTGCAGAAGATTTTGGATGCCAACATGGACGGAGCTCCTGCCAGAAGGCGCGCTCGAGATGCGTTCAAGGATGTTCAGCTTGGAATTGACCACATCTTGTTCAAGGTCATTAAATACCCACAACTACTTCTTTTTCTTTTTCGTTTTTGATTTAATTTTTCATAAGAAAGGAACAGAAGGAATTAATGGGGTACTGTTTATGCACGTGAGATTCACGTGTCTCAATGCTTCATCCCAATTGCCATGTTCATGTTGTATATGCATTCAGTTTGTATTTTTTTATTTTTATTTTTTGAGGGTGATAAGGAACAGGAAAGTTTGATGGTTTTCATGATTGACAACATGGGTTTGGTTGATTAATGCTCGAGTCTGCAACTTTTCTGAATACTCAGTGAAGATGATGGATGGGGTTCACTGGCAATCTGTCATGAATTTGAAAACATTTGTTATTGTCAGCATTCTTGGTATTTTTAGGATAAATAATAAATAAGCTTACAACTGCTTAATTCTCAAGGATTTGAAGGGGTGAAAATGTCTAATAATTACAAGTTTTCTTGCAGACACCATGTGATGGAATAAAAATGAATGAGGTAAAATCTAAAAGCTCCTTACTTCCATTTAATTCCTGTGTTTTTCTTTTCTTTGTTTTCCACTTTATGAACCTCCTGTTTCCACCTACTTATGTCGGGCTTTAAGCCAAGATAGTGTTTGGATTAGGAAGAAGTGATTAGTAATTGTATCGGGAACTATCTACTATTTTTTTTTAAGAAAAGTTTTTGATACCTTTTAAATGGAGATAAGCAAATGTGAGATTATAAATTTGACTGTGAAGATGGATTTATATGATATTTATGGTGCAGTCGTATGAGAAGAACTCTAGAGGGCTGGAAATTTTCTCCAAGAGTTGGCTTCCGGAAAGCTCTAAGCCCAAAGCAGTGGTGTGTTTTTGTCATGGTTATGGAGACACTTGCACATTTTTCTTTGAAGGCATGTAGCTTGTAGCAAGTAATAATGGATTTTTTGAGGCTTGGGGTGTGTGTTGTGATGACAAAATCTAATCATTTTTCATGGCACTCCTAGCAGGAATTGCGAGGAAATTGGCATCATCTGGGTATGGAGTTTTTGCTATGGATTACCCTGGATTTGGTCTTTCGGAAGGACTCCACGGCTATATTCCCAGCTTTGACGTGCTTGTAGATGATGTTATGCAGCATTACTCTAAAATTAAAGGTCCGTTGATTTATTATATGATAATGTTACTGGGTAATTTGTTAAGATATTGTAGTGATGGTACCATGTTTTGACAAAGGGTAGGATTAGATTCAAAAAATACAAAAGCTAGTTGATATCCTTATGTGCTGAGGGAGTTGAGGAGTTTTGTACCCAAGTGGCATCTAAAGCTTTTTCAATTTGTTCTGAACTATAGTGAACAATTGATTAAACTCTACGGCTTTATGTTCTATTTTCATTATCACAAGCCCTTTAGCTGTAGTTTTTTTCAGATGGAGATTGAACAGGCAGAGTCAACTTCTGTTAGACTTTATTTCTGGTCATAATATCCCGTAAATGATGGTGAGTGTCGAGTCTATGCAACTCGAAAGATGAGGGTTCTCAAGTATCTGCTTGGATGTAAATAATTTTTTCCTTTCCATCTTGTAACACTGGCATGCAAAAAAGGAGAAAATGCCATACCTGCCAGTTTGCCACACTGGTTTACTCGGTTTTTTCCTACATTTTTTTTTTTATGTCATGTCTAAACTCTGCTCACCGTAAAGCATGAGGAGACCTTCCTCCCTCTGGTAGAAATCTGGATCACACTGGATTGTAAAAACATAAATATATACAAGTATCATGCTACTCATACCTTCTGTTTATAAAACAGTTCCCAAGGTAGCATTGATGGTTGGAAGCTCCCCTAGATGCCTTTGCCCTCTATGCTTTGTTTGTCTATTGGTGGAAAAAGATTGTCTTTGTTGATAGAGATGTTACAGAAAATGACTGAATGGCGTGAAGATTGAATATTCTGTCTCGTTGATGTTTATATTTGATTCTTTTGGCTGGCAGAGAATCCAGACTTCCGTAATCTACCAAGCTTTCTATTTGGAGAATCTATGGGTGGAGCTGTAGCTCTGAAGATACACTTAAAACAGTGTAATTTATGGAGCGGTGCAGTTCTTGTAGCACCCATGTGCAAAGTATCTCCCTCAACCCAGTTGTGTTGAAATTATGATATGGTTGTTTCGTACATAAAAATTGTTAACTGGAATACTTCATGTAGATTTCAGATGACATGGTCCCGCCAAAAATAGTCGCAAGATTTCTCATTGGCGTAGCTAGTGTTCTACCAAAGCAGAAGTTAGTTCCACAGAAGGATTTGGCGGAGGCAGCATTTAGGGATGTGAAGAAACGACAGCAGGTTTGTCTCGTTCTTAACCTACTGGAGCAAGATGCTCTAGTGTTTTGTGAGAATATCATACTTTTCTTTCCTATAAGATCTCTATGTTCATTTTACCAATTAGAGAGAATACTTCTCAAGTTTACAATTGTTGAGCACGTAGCCTTTTCCTTTTAATACTAATGCAGGCATCCTATAACATAATTGCTTACAAGGATAAGCCACGTCTGCGGACAGCTTTAGAGCTGCTCAAAACCACTGAAGAGATAGAACGCCAGTTGGAAAAAGTACGCCAAACTCATTCTCCTGTTACGATTTCTTAAATTTTGATATACTATTTTTTTACCTTTTTTTTTTTTTGTAAATCTGCTCTGTTCTGTAATCCATGATTCTTTTCGTTCTCAAATGAGGTAATTATCAGTTACCTTATCTTCCTTCTGCATCTATTAAGGTTATGATCTTTGATTAGGGACTATTTAGGGAGCTAGAAATTATGACTGGTTCAAGCACCTGAATATTGGAGGTTGCCTTAACTAAGCAGGCATGGTTTGTCATATACCCAAAGAAGAGAGGAGCAAACCAAAGATCTCAACTTTAAGATTTGCTTCAACTAATAAAAATTACATTTGAAAAATGTACTTCTTCCAAGATGGTTGACAACATAATCAAAAAGAAGAGAGGAGCAAACCAAAGATCTCAACTTTAAGATTTGCTTCAACTAATAAAAATTACATTTGAAAAATGTACTTCTTCCAAGATGGTTGACAACATAATCAAAAAGATGCATAAAATGCTCAGCATGTAGAAAGGGATGCTAGTGGTTCCCTTGTAAGGGGACTATAGACCACAAATTAGATTGTATCTTCTGATTATTTTCATTGTACTGTTGTTTCAAGAGGTATTGATGTCTGTTCGTGTGAATTATTAGCTATATGCTAGGTCTTAGTTGTGAAAACAAGTCTAATGTAGAATTTTTGAACATCACTTTGCCAGTCTATCATTCTGTCTTAAAAGATTACTTCTTTCACTTTTGACGCTTATATGTTGTAAGTTAAAAACTTAGAATAGATGTACAAGGCAAGGTTAATTACTTCATTTTAGGAACTTTTTCTAACTACATGCCTATTAGGAATTCTTAATGACCTGAGCTTACTGGAAACTAGCTATACATTTGGTCAGACTTCGAACCTTTTTTATTTGAATGTATAATTAGTTAAAAACTCAACCGCTTTGGTTTCACAGGAAGTTGTAGTTGACCCGAATTCTGAATCAAGCTATCCATTGGATTGATTTATGATGTCTACAATTTCAGGTTTCTCTGCCAATATTGATCCTTCATGGTGCAGCTGACACTGTAACAGATCCGTCGGTGAGTAAAGCCTTGTATGAAAGAGCAAGCAGTTCGGACAAGAAATTTATTCTTTATGAGGATGCTTGTCATTCTCTTCTTGAAGGTGAACCAGATGACATGATAACTCGAGTTTTCAATGATATCATTTCTTGGCTTGATGAACACAGCCAGAGTACCGCAAACTGACCAGCGAAATAGTAGCTCTTAATTCTTTTCTTCCTGTATCAAATAAAGTGAGAAGAAGCATGCATTGTTTGATGGGGAAAAATAAAACTGCTACTGAGTCTGAATGTATAGAGGAAGTTGAGATAATTAAATAATTATAAACCATCTTTGTTTTTTCCGGTGTATTCCTATAAGCCATGTTTTATAGGAAGGCAAGCAAACAGTTAGTTATATATATATATATATACACACCTTCGTTCTCATTAAGCTACTCTTTATTAGTAATTCTGATATTTTCTAGAGAAACCACCGAAGTATATACTCAACAAGTTAGATGAGCAGTGAGACAACAATTTTGCCAAGCAACTTGTTTTAGCGTAAGAAGAAAAGTATTAAAAAATGAGATGGTGGTAAGACCATGATATGCATATATATATATATATATATATTATGAACCTAGATTGCAATAAATTGTTAACAAACCAAAAAACAGAGGCAAGAGGAGGAAGTTGTGGTGGTGGCAAATGATGGAGCTGCTAGGGACAAAGGGGCCACCTGACCCATAATGAGAATAAAGACCAACAATTGATACTTTTAAACAAATTACATTTGTGATTTGATTAAATTGAAAGGATAATTAAATACTAAATTTTAGTTTAATGTAGTCTGATTTAGAATTTAACAATGCCTTAAAACCATAAAATTTAAAAAAAATTATATTGGAAGAATTAAATGCAGAGAAGTGAGAAGATTTTACAAGTAAACTATCCATTTTAAGAAAAAACAAAAATGGCAGAGAAGGAAACACACGCTGGCTAAACACAAACAAGAAGACAAAACGAGTTACATATGGCAGAGCAAGTGGGCATGAGGCTTTTTTCGCTCTTCAATTTTGCCCCTTTTCATTCTCGGTGCGCTTAAACTTGCCCTTTGCTACCAAGTAGTGCGCATTGTCTTCTCCTTTTTCTTTTCTTTTTACCCTCTCTCTCTTTAGCGGCTTGTTTTTCTAGTAGTGGAAAAACCCATCTCATCATCTTCCTCACGGCATTTTCTTTTAGGTTATATAAATATACTACTTCAAGTTGATGAATAGTCCATTAGTTTTCTTCTTCTTCTTCTCTTTCTTCAGGGCTATACCTCAGTTTTCCTCCTAACATGGTCTTCTCTTCTTTCTTTTCCTACCCTCCAACCTTCCTCAAGGTATTACTATTCTTCTTACTGGGTATTTACTTGGTGTTAGCTTGGTTTTCTGTTTCTTCATATGGGTGTTCTTGAGATTCTTGCATCTTTTAGTGATTTACTGATGGCATGCATTGGATGAGTTTCTGAGTAAATTGTATTTGGAGCTATTATTATATGCTTTGAGTGGTTTATATAACTCTTAAATTGAGTTAACTTTCCTTTCTATCATGGGATTATTTCTAGGCAGTGGAATGGAAAGTGTTCTTGGACATCTTAGCGGGCATCCTCTGTTTCTTTGTTTAGCAGATCTTCTAATTCTTAAAGGGTTTTCCTTTGGGAAGGGTGTTATTTACCCATGATTTATGATGTTTGGTTTGATTTTAATTATGCAGCTAAGATTTCAACTTAACTGCTCACTATCATAAATATAGTTGTAGATATAATATTGTTATGCATATGTTATATTCATTATTCTGCTTGCTGGATTTTATGTCTGATATTTTATCCAACATTTTGGTATTGTTTGTTCATTTGTTTACAGCAAGTATAGCTTATCATATACAATTGATTTGAATCCAAAATTTTGCTGCTGTGGTAGATCTAGGCATTTTAAATATTTTATCTGTCTTCTTGAATCTGCTTTGTTTACCTATCTTTAACAAGTACTTAATATGAGAAGTGGGGAAATAGGATAAGATGTAATTATATTCAGTATGTAATAATAATAGTTTACGATTGTCCATTTGAACTGGAATTCCTTATTGTTTAAAGTTTGTTTCTTATAGAATGATTGGTTGGCACTGCCTCTAAAACCTCGATACAATGTTGGGGTGGATCGAAGATTCACTTTTTCTCCAAAGGCTATTGCCACTGAACTGTCCAGGAAGCCAGTTGGATCGAGGCGAACTGATTTACAGAGTGACTGGAGTTTCGTGGGAGGATCAAGAATTATACTTAGACCCAAGGTTGCACCCTTCATTTACTCTAGAAAGGGCTATGGAATACAGGCTTCATGTAATACCCTGTTGTTTTCGTGTGCATACCAGTTATAATTTACTCGCTATGTTTGCATCTAATTTTCGTTCCATTTTAGGAGAATGTCAGGGTTGACTAGTTCTCCATGTATTTTGCAGGGTTAACAAATTCTCAAATTGCTAGTACTGTATTTACTTTGGGAACAGCAGCTGTTCTCCCTTTTTATACTCTGATGGTTTTAGCCCCTAAAGCCGAACTGGTGAGTTTTGCCTCCAGTTTATAAAACTCCCATTTATCACTACTAATTTGTTGATTGTTGATTTTGCACCTCCGATACATTTGAAAGATCCGTTGCAGTATCAACTGTAGCATTTCCTTTAGGCTGTGGCCATGTTTATAGAACCTAATCTTTAGTCTAAAGTTTAATCTTGAAACCCTTTTAGATCCTACATTGTTTCTGAGATATTCAATTGCTTGGATGAGAGTAATTGCAGACTAGAAAGTGTATGGAAAGTAGCATCCCATATGTTGTGCTTGGACTTCTGTACGCGTATCTACTATACCTCTCCTGGACACCCGATACAATACGAATGATGTTTGCTAGTAAATACTTATTGCCAGAGGTTTGTATTTACTTGACAATTTGATTTAATATTAGTAGTTCAGATGATATAAGATAATTCTTCTTTTCTGGCAACTGATTGCAGCTTCAGGGTATAGCAAAGATGTTTTCTAGCGAAATGACATTAGCTTCTGCATGGATTCACTTGTTGGTTGTTGATCTCTTTGCTGCAAGGTTGCCTATCTTTCTACTCTATTAGCTTGTTTCTGACTGGAGATTGGATCCACAGATATTCTAATGGTTTAGATTTTGTTATTTTTACAGACAAGTTTTTCATGACGGATTAGAAAACCAAATTGAGACTCGGCATTCAGTTTCCCTCTGTCTGCTATTTTGTCCCATTGGCATTGTCACCCATGTTATCACCAAAGCACTGACAAAAAGTGCAGGAAGAACCAGACATGGCATGTAACAAACAGCTAGCAAACTACAGGGATCAATTGAATTCATAAGAAGATGTGAGAATTTTCTGATTCAAGCAAAATTTTACTTACAAATATAATCAGAATTGTACAAAATCTGTTGTTTCTTTGTAGCAACAAACCGCCCTTTGTTCATCAAGCAAATTCTCATTTTTCCTTCATCAAAATATAGTCATGAATGAATTCAAATGCATCTTATCTTATCTTAGTCGGTGTAGCTAATCATATCTTAGTTGCTCTAGAGCATCCTCCTTTATCATTGTTCTTGGAACATTCTTAGCATCAATGTCTTCATGGACTTTGGCATTCTCTTCCACGGAAAATCTGGACCTTTTTCTAATTGTTGCTTCAGATTCTCGAAGGAGTAGATTCGAAGCAGAAAGGATGGTTAGAGTTGGAAATCATACAATTCATGCATATATGAATATTTGATGACATAATTACCTGTTTCCTTCACTACCCTACTTGTTCCTGTTCCGGTTCAAATCATTGCAATACGGATAAAAGTATAACACTTCTTCTTGAAGCTGAACTCCGAACTTGTGATCAACCTTGTCTTTAACCAAAGCAATGAGATCAAGCATATCTTTGGAAGTTGACCCATTGAAGTTTATGAAGAAGTTGGCATGAATATTTGAGACCATTGCTCCTCCCAGTCTAAAACCTTTCAACCCAGCTCTCTCAATCAGCTCACCTGCCGAAACTTCCAAACCAGGTGGATTTCTAAACACTGAGCCTGCACTTCTCTCCCCAACTGGTTGAGTTAGTTTTCTCCTATAAACAATGCAAGTATAATAAGTTTTTCCTTCAAGATAGACTAGTCCAGGACACAAACATCCAAAAGGAATACTCAACTAATACCTCTGCAAATATTCTTGTTGCCTTCTTCTTGCTGAGCTTGAACCTTGCATTCTGAATGTTACAGCCACGATGGCTGCCAAGTTCTTCATATCTTGAAATGGAGATGACCGGTAATCGAAATTAAGATCACTCCTGTTCAAAGTCTGAAGCTTCCCTTCAGTTGTAAGGATGTCTACGCTTTCAACTACATCTGCTGTCTCCTTCATAAATCATGAAAAAGATTTCAATAAATTGTTACTTCCGCAATGATATTCTGGTCTTGAAGTTAACTCAAAGAATTCTACATAAAATATAGGTTGATATATTTTTCTCAAGCAATTGATAGAAATATGATACACCATCATATACATGTTCTTATTGTATAAACATAACAACCTTATAATAAGAAGTTAGCTTTCTTGGAGGAACCGAACTACCTGTCCATTTGCTCCAGCATTCATGTAAGCAGCGCCACCTACAGTCCCAGGAATTCCTCCAGCAAATTCAAGACCTGTGAAACCTTCCAAAGAGCAAAGCATACCCAAACGATTAAACGGGAAACCACTCCCTACTCTGTATACTCCCGGTTCAATTCTCTCCAAGAAGTCAATCCGGTTCAGAATCACACAACCATCAAAACCCAAATCATCAAACAGACAATTCGAGCCTTTACCAATCACAAGGAACCAGATGGAATTCTCATGACAATATCTGCAATTCGTCAAACAGAGTAGCCCTCATTTACTTGGTACTATCAATTTGAGCCTTGGCATTATCAACAGTCATTTCGAGAGGAAGAACCCATTAGGGATTTTTCGTTGCTAAAAACAGTGGTTCGAACCTTATAAAGAAGAATCAGAATAGAAAAGAAAGAAACCTGAGAGCGGAAGCGAGTTGCCTCGAGTTGAAGACCTGGACAAAGTAATTGCAAGGGCCACCGATGCCCCAGGAGCTCAGATCCTTCAATAACTTTTTGGAACGAGTGAATTTCATTCCATTAGAGTTCTGGGTTTGTTGGTTTTTGTACAGATTGTCGAAGTGATTACGCAGAAATGGAGTTGGATTAGTCGGTGATTGAAGCGAAAGGTGGGTGTTGTGCGAAAGGGAAGGGGACACGAAAATCATTTTGCAGAAGACCATGAAGAAGCTGAAGTAACCTCTGGTTTTCAGTCTTGCATTCTTGATGGGAAATAGGATTTGAAACTCATGAGCTACAGTATGAACTACTACTATATATCATACAATTTTCAAAATGTTTTGTATTTATAATAATTATTTATATTTATATAAAAAAATGCAGATATTATTCTATGCAAATATATATTATATATAATTAAAAAAATTTAAATAAAAACATAACATTATATATGCTTAGTATTTGAAGTGGATTAAAAAAGTTAAATATATATTATAAGTAAATAACTTGAACATATAAATTAGCTCTTTTTTTCTATAATATATTTTATCATAATATTATTATCTACAATAAATCTATTAAAAATAATAAAAATATCTTAAAGAACATAAATTTTATCTATATAATATGATATATTTCAACAAAAAAATTTATATGATGAGTGAGATATAAGTAAAAACATATATTATTATAAATTTATACGATGCATAATGAAATAAGGCAATAAATTTTATTAATTAATTTATTAAAATGACAAAAGAAGACGTCTTTATTATGTTTAAAATATTTGAGACTAAGACCATAAAACACAGCATGTAGATCAACACTCTGATATTTTAGAAAATGCATACATACTCTAAATAAATATAACTTCTAACAAGCTTGTAAAAATACTGTTTATAAGTTTATAACATATATGACACATAAATTTTGGGACATTTACCCATCGTGTAAAGAAATATAAAACATGAGAGCTTATAAATTTACATAGACCAAAAAAACGAAAAACCCTGAGCCGAACACTTGTTGAATGAATTCAATCTTCAAAAGTTTCAGATCATGACCTCAGGCGGTTCACCTACAACAATTTGCAGAGCAAGCTTTCATACATACCACTAAATCAAAAATCAATACAGTCAGCAGATGGTACCGGATTTTGCCGGGGAAGAATGAACTTTTTTCAAACGGACAGTTCAACACCCGTACATAATCATAGAAAAGAAATCCAAATCATCCTAAAAACAGTATTAGGTTTCCACAAAAGTGATTCCAAGGTACATCAGTGTGTGTCGAAATTGCCAGTAGTCAATTAAAAGGCATGATTCTTTCAGCTGATAGCTATAGAGTATAAAGACTATGAACAAGGTAAGATGGTGAGAGGAAACAGTGTTGTGATGTTACCTAAATAATCACAAAAGAATTTGCCTAACATTTTCAACAATGTAAAATAGTTCCTTATCATTCAAAGAATGAAAGAAGTTTAATATACTCCAAACTGATGTTTCATTCAAGATACAGGATTTCCTTGCTCCAGTGAAGAGAAAGAGGACCAACGTCTCTGCAAAAGAATGCCGCCAACAAAACAATTTGTCATAATATTAGCAAGAGAATATACAATAAGCACTAGTCATTAAATGGGAGACATCTCCTACACCCGGTAAATTCTCTGAAGGACAGAATGTTTCAGTTTATGCTCCTACCTATTATCTGAATATACGAAGAAAGATGTACGATCTAATAAGACTACTACAAAATATTTACTCATGGGTGGGGCAAGTTCTTTTATTCTGGTTCATGGCAAGAGAATAATTTGTCATAATATTAGCAAGAGAATATACAATAGGCACTAGTCATTAAATGGGAGACATCTCCTACACCCGGTAAATTCTCTGAAGGGCATAATAAGGCATCAGACGAATAATTAAAATTTTCTTCTTTTCATATAAAAAATGAATTTAAGGAAAAAAAAAAGCACCCTATGCATCTATCTGTCCGTAGTGTCATTCCTTTTCTATCTTCAGCTTTACATCTAATTCCATGTTTTAAAGCTCGTGATTGCTATAAGGGTTAAACTCTCCAAACCACTATTGATCTTTTTATGTTCTCAGCACTCAATATTTGTCTTGACTTAGAGAGGCCAAGAAAAATACAGGAAAAAAAGAATACAAAATTTTCAGAGTGTATTATATGTAATTAAGTTGAAGAATAGTAGAATAAATATACCATATGTAATTAATTATTTATTTTCGTTTTCCATGCTAAAAAACATGTATATATAAAGTCATGATATTCAATAAAATACACATTCAGCTATTCTTAACAAAAATAAAGTTCTTAATTTTGTATTGACTTAGAAATGTAAGACAAAAAGGTGCCATACATTAAGTTGGAAGAGAAGAGGTCTGAAGTTCATCCCCGAGTATCCCACTGCTTAGATCTGGCTTTTGGAAAGAATCTTTCCTAGTGTGCTCCAAAGAAGTTGCTTCATATATCCCTAGAGATTTTGGGCAACCAAATCCAAATTAAAAAAATACATGGCAATAAGAAGGATACTTTCTAGTTCTTTCTTTTTTTTTTTGAGAAGAAACCAGACTTCCTGACAAAAGCAAAGATACAAAAATTTCTCTAGAATTTAGGTCAAGACCCAATCTCATTACAGAACATGGATTCATGTGTAGGTATGATGTTACATGATCATATAGATTCATGAACTTGACCAGGCTGTTAAAATTGCAGCAGCTATAAGCAGAAATAATTGAATGAAAACAACTCTAAAAAATTTCGTGGGCGCCACTATCTTCAAAACACTATTCGTGTTAAAATGGCCCAATTTAAGATTATTAGTCTGATCACTCTATGAACAATGAAGGCACTACCAAGTCTTTCAAGGCAAATTATTAAAAAGCATTTCCAGAAAAAGCATCATGGTAATGTAAACTCAAACTAGAAACAAATATCTAAAAGATTATCAGACTATTCTTTCAATAAATAGCTAGAAATGAAAATTAATCTCAAAGAGAACTGTCAAGATTTAGAAACATCTAAAGAGATCAAACTTTATTTTCACTTTTAGGAGTACTGTCCTTTCTGTACCAAGAAAGGTGATTAATCAAACCTAGTTGATCCACAACATATATCTACCACTACTCATATTTGGAGGAAAAAATGCTTATATCTGATAAATGAATTGACATCATAAATATTCTTTGATGAAAATGCTCGCACTAGAAAATGAAAATTAGCTCACTAGAACAAGGAAGTTATCTTATTAAATGAAATATAAGCAGAGAATAATTGAGATTAACATGTTGAATTTTGTTTTAACTGAAAAGCATTGTCACCTTAGATTTTTGACTCTATATTCACTTGCAGAAGTTGCATAGCAGAAGCATGGATAAGATTATTGGTTGGGGTTAATCCTCTGTGAATAAATTACCAGTTAAAGAGTTTCTGTTTTCAGGTAGAGAAAACAGGTGATCTGAACTAAATATCCAACACAAAATTTGCTTATAGTGTCTTTTGTCCAATAAACAAACCATTTCAGGAATCAACCAAGAAGAGAGAAGAAAATGAATATCTAATGGGTCCACTTACAGAAACTTCAGAATAAACAAGTACGTACCAAAACCTAATATTAAAGAGCAAACTAGGAAGCCAGCAAGAGAAAAGTCCATTTTGTACATGATCTCCATGACAATTATGCATGCTCCAGCTACCATTAGATGTCTTGGGGAAGAGAAAACCATATGCAGCCTACAAAAGGGTAAAAATATAAGTGTCCCTGAATCACGACATCCTCTTATCGGTACTCAGGACAAATTGAAATCAATACACACACTGCGGTAAAAGAAATTATTGTGAGTCCCTGAATTAGTATCTAGAAAAGAAAACCAAAAAGATGGAAAAGGCACGTTAAGAGAATGTTTGGAATTGCTTAAAGAAAGGTTTTAAAGTTATTTAAACCACTATTATCTAAAAAAAAAGTTATTTAAACCACCAGGTGCATTAAGTAACTTAAAGTAGTCAGGTGCCTTTTTTTTAAAAAACAATTATGTAAAGAAGAGCGAAAAAAAGTTGGATGGAAAAAAATAAATCCAAAAAAAGTTACAAATAGAGTGCTTAATTTTTCCAGCTTAAAGTGATCTTTCAGTATCCCAATAAGCACCACATTTATTTTGCTACTGAATGAGAACCAAAATGAAGTTCCTAAAGTTATTTATAAGCGTCAAATAAGTAATCTCAAACACCTACCAAAATAGTTAAGTAAATGTAATAAGTATTACTTCTCAGTTGCAGTTAGCAAGACATTTTTCCAAAAAAGAAGTGCAAGACAGCCAAATCAAGGTAGGGCATTTAAGTAACTTCAGATACCAAAGCAATAACCAACAAGATGTGACAGCGTTAAAAGCAAACAGAATAGGTGCTATATTGCCTTCTAGAGTATGAGGTACCTCTCCTCTGCGATACTGTCTACATAGAATATCAAGACAATTCCAAACAGGATAGTGCTTAAAAATGCCCAAGCAGAAAATGGCAAGTCCGTAATGCCGCGAGAAGTTGATCCCTGAAGTGTTTAAATAAAACGAAGGTGAAAGAAAATAAATGTCAATCAAGCCAAAGCTCATAAAATCAAGAAAAGATAATTCTATTTGCATCTATGCCTAGTTTGATTGCATCTTAGAAAGCAACACTTACTATGATCAAGTCCCACATGGCCACAGGAAAGAGAAAGCATGTTGCAGAAGCAATCGTTATGGCATGGAGTCGCCTTTTTAGTTGATTCTAAAAATAGAGATTGAAACAGGATATGTAAGAAAGATAGCAAGATATGTTTTGAGCTGAAGGAAAATTTTAATCTAGACTGATGCATAAACTAGGAACACCTTAAGTGAAACCCGCCGTGCAATCACCCTTTTCAATGCTGATAAGATTCCAGCCAAGATAGGAACTAGCATCCCTTTCAAACCCAATATTTGTTGATTGTCAGCCTCTGTATCAAGTTTGTCTCTGAATGGTACTCTGTGTTAAGTTCATTCAGTACATTTGAGATGCGTAGGTTGTTTACACGAAGAGAATGGTTGAGTATAAAAGAAACTAAAGCAGACGAAAGCAGTAGAATGCAGTATATTTAGTACTTCAGAATGAAGCATTCTATGAGAGGATATATAATGGAGATAATGTTGCCATAGCCCAGCCTTGAGATAAGAAAGAAGAGAGATGCTAGCATGCAATAAGCCCACCGACCTGACAAAGGACAGGAAGACAAAAATATATTAGGGAAGTATCCACCAAATTTCTGGCTCAGTCATCTCCATTAATAA